CTGTGGTATAATCACATTGCAACAACATATAGTTGACATTCACATGTTGCAGTTTAATGTGATATACGTAAACACGTTATAGGTAAGTTACATTCACACACCTTTCTAATAGATTTTCCATCATATTTCAAAAGAAAATAAAAATTAATAAAATAATGACAAAATAAAATAAAATAAAGAATTTAAAATTATTTTAAGTCGAAACATCAAAAAATAAACTAGTAAAATCATTCTTTTAATTAAATCAAAACCTTAAAAAATAACCAATAAAAAACACTCCATTATGGAATGCATTGAATATGTAATTTATTAATATAAGACCCAGAGACATCTATAAATTAGTATATCTCATCACATATAATCAATTAATAATACAATATCATCTATATTCACATGCTTTAAAATACACTTTCACTTAATGGACATAAAATTGCATAAATTAATGTAATTAACATTATCTAAAGATTTAGTTGATAGGGTGCTTAGTTCCCCTGGCACATGTATTTATGTTTGAAATTCTTCCCCTTAGTTTGTCAAGATTAAAAAAATGTAATATAATTATATAATATTATATGAAAGAAAAATTATTACATTGTCTGCTAATCACATGGTGACGCATAAATAAATACCTGGCAACTTTTTTTTTTTTTTTTCTTGTGTTACCATGTGATTGACGGGACACAAATTCCCCTATTACTTATCCTTAAATGACACGTACATAGCATGCTCATTCAATATTTGTTGCAGCACAACTTTTTAGTTAACGCCTTTATAATCAAATGTCAAAACATTATGTGCCACACTCATTCTCCTATTCCCCATTTTCTGGGAAATAAATTATGGTCCACCACCTCTTTATTTAGATTCAAAGCTTGAATAATTTGAACAAAGAAATAAAAAGTACATGAGACCCGGATAGCTAAATTGGCAAAGAAAAACAGCTATAATACAAATTACAAGCTACTTTAGGAGAGGATCAAAGGAAATGCTAATAATGGCTAACCAAAGTCCACAGTCATTCCAATTATCTTTTAAAGTCTATCTCATACTCTTAATTCTTTGTTTGGATTTGGATAAAAATGAAAAGGAAGGAAATTTGGGAAGAAAGGGGAAGAGGGATTCCTCTGAAGTTATTAAGAGTCTATTTGATTTGTCATTCAAAAATCAGTTATTAAGAATTGAGAAAACATAAAATTATTTTAAAAAAATTATTTAAAACAGTTATCTATAAATATGTCTTTTTATAATTGTAGTTTTAGAAAACTAAATCAAGTAGAGTTTTTGTACAGCTTTCTGATTTTAAATTTTGTAAAAATACAAAACTATTTTACGAGTGACAAACCAAGTGGAACCTAAAATGTTAGGGGTGAAAAAGTGCACAAAAAGAGGAGTGAAAAATCTTTCCTTCTCTTCTTAAAGGCCTGTTTGTCAAGCGTTTTTGCTTGATATTTTTGTTGCAAAAATGCTAAAAATAAAAACAAATGACGACAACATATTTGGTAACATTTGTTACGTTTTGCACAGTATCATACATATTTTTTCATAAAAAGTTCCAAATCTGGAAGCAAATATATATATATTTTTCACTTATTTTCATTACTTTAGCTGAAAAAATGTAGAGAGATTATTTTTAAAAAAACAATATAAGGTAAATACTATGCAATTTTTACAATCATCAGAGCATCTTTTCACTTTCATATATATATATATATATATATATATTACATTGTGCAACAACTTTAATTACCCATGTTTCCATTTCGAAATAAATCATAGCAAAACAAAGTATTGCTTTTGTTTCATATGAAATAAAAAAACGCAAAACAAATGTAGTTGGCAAACAGGCCCTAAAAATACCTGTCTCTTTTATACCTTACATTTTCCAATGTTTTTATCCTTGTACCAAATGGAGCTGAAAGTATTGGCCCTGTCTGATGTATGACAGAAGCCAAACCTAATTATTATGCTGCCCTATGTGGTGAGTACTGTTACTTGGTCCAACTTAGTGATATACCTTTGGAATTGCCCTCCTTTTACCTATTGCTTTGTGTCCATTTAGAACTATTAGTCACTTCAACACAAAATGTCGTTTACAATTTGAGGACTACAATAATCAACAGATGAGTAGTCTAACGGTATCAAGTTTCTACTTCTCAAAGAGAGGTTAAGAGTTCGAGTCTCAGTGGAGACATGTGTGTGTAAGTACTAAAAAAAGAAAAAAAGAAAAAAAAAGACTACAATATGCCTCTCTAGTTTCAACACCATCTTCTGTAAGGGCTAGGCAATGTGCACACTAATTTGGATCCAAAATTTGTAGCTTCTTGTTTTTCTAGGATTTTATGCTTTTTAATGCTGACATAGGAGTAAATTTGAAGCCCCCTCTACACGGTACACTAGACGGTCTAATGCACAAGCAGAGAGTAGAAATCACCCCGAGGTATCCACCTTCCGTAGGGATGAACCCAGGATATTGTATGGGGGCAGTAGTGAGATTTTTTTTTTTTTTTTGGTAATTTCAGGAGGTGGCAATATTAAAATTTCATAGGTATATAAAAAAAAAAAAAATAAAAATAAAAATCATTAGTATAAATACTGTTAAAAAATGTTCTTGTAATTTTAGAGTTTTTCTGTCATTTTTTTTTTTAAAAAAAAAAAAAAAAAAAAGGATAAAGCAATTCACTCATGCATACTATCTTCACGAGACTTGAATCCAAAAGACTTTCCTTTAGAAAGTATGAATTTGATACTGCTGATCCGCTGCCCTGTTTTTGTCTCGCAGACACACCATATTTGGTTTCTTTTGACTTGAAATGACAACACCATAGGGTAACTTTTGAGATATTCAACAGCCAGAAATAGTTGCACAGGCCTTATCTCAATGGAGTTGGATAGTGCTTTCTGTTTTATGACTTCCACATCATTCCACATTTTACAGCTCATATTTCCTTTGATGTTTCATGGTTCAAATTATTTGTCATGCACCTTTAGCCCTTTTTGTCCATCTTCACCAGCTACATTTCACACAATTTATATAATTTCAAGACTCTGTGGCTGTTTCAGGAAAAAGAAAGAATAAAAAAATTATATATATATATATATATATTAAAGAAAATGACAAAACATATAAAAATTTAACAAGATACAGTATACAAACAGTATTTTGAAATATAGTCCATTGCACCCTATGTCCATTGTCTTTCATTTGGACTAGAATCCTCAATCCTCAAAAATAAATAAATAAATAAACAAAAAAAGAAAAAGAAAAAAAGAAGAGGCAAACCTGTCTGCGATTAAAGATGGTAAGATTTATGCAACTTTACCTTCACATTCAAATTCATGACCGAATTACAACGGTACAACTTTACCGTTATACCAAGACTCGCCCTCTCTTTAGACACTTGAAAAAACTTTTCCTTTCATTTGATAAATATCATTCTTTTATATATTTTTATGCATACATATATTTTTTGGGGCGGCCAGCATATGCCCAGGGCAGCTGCCCCCCTTGGCCCATGCTACCCCACTAGAAATTTTTATGAGTTTACTAAATTTTATTATATTTTATGCATATAATTTGTAAATATTTATAAATTGCCTCATAAAATTATGTATTTTAAAAACCCCCTTAATTCTTTATTTCTTTTCCTTCTTATTCTTCAATTTTTATTTTTTTTTGGTTTTCCTCCAAAACTTTTGCATTCTCTTTCTATAATTAAAACCTATTTTTTTCCTGCAAAGTTCTCTCATATTTTTTTCTTCTTTTTCTTAAAATTTTTTTATTTTTATTTTTTATGTGCAATAAAGTTCTTTCTTCTCTTCTTATTTATTTTTAATTCACTTAATTATTCTAATGCACAGTTATTACACTATTATATTTTTAAGCTTGTTATCTTCCTAGGCTAGCTGGGAAAAAATTTATTTTGTCGGGCAATGCACCCTGAACCAAATTTCTATATATATATGCAAAGGCGGACAGAAGGGTGGACAAAGGTGTAGCCCACCCAAAAAAAAAAAAAAAAAAAAATTAAAGAAATAAAAAAAAAAAAATTTCACTACACTAATATTAGCCAAAACCCAAATATATATATTGATAGTATTAATCCACTCAGCCTCCCACCCAATAATTTCGAAGAGCAAGCCATTATCAGCTAGGTTTCGATAATTCGATCTCTTCACCAAAGGCAAAAGAACGTCTCGATTGACTGCTCACACTCGCGTTGGTGAGTCAATTCAATACCCTTCCACGTTCACATATTCTTTTTGTCTAAATCAAGTTCTGTAATTCTTGTTTTGAAACTAAATCCTATTTAATATTAGCCCAGTAATTCTTGTTTTGAAACTAAATCCTATTTAATATTAACCCACCCCAACGAGAAATCCTAGATCCGCCCGTGTATATATATGGGCTATGCATCATATTCTTTTCTCATCACTTGCTATATCTCACCTAGCCTACTTTTGAACCTTGTAAATCATGTTGAGGCCTGTACAATAATATGAAGAAGAACCAAAACCCTTGGTTATAGTTTGCTACAACTTCAACATACCAAAAAAAGTCATTTTTCACTCCAACACGCCTAAAACATTTACTAGGAGTATCTTGAAAAGCAAAACATAAATGCCTTCAACAAATGGTACGTACAATAAATACTTGTCTCTGACCAAAGGGCATCTAGCCTAATGGTATGTCTCTTCTCCGGAGAGTTCGAGTCCATATTGTGGATAATGGGTAGTTGTGTTTGCTAACATCAATGTCCGTATCTATATATTACTATAAACAAACCCTATATATGTTGTTCATGCGAGTGTAGATTATACTTACTAATTGCATGACCATTTTTTACTATTGGATGGCCATTATCGGTAAAGTTGATGCACTTTGATAGCTACCTTGTGCAGATTTTACAGGGTTGAAAACTTAGCAAAACATTCACCTTACAAGCTTCATTAGCTAGTAAAGGCTTTTCCTAACTAGTATAATCCATCAAAAGTGCTCCGAATTAAGCCAAAACCCCCTAAATCACAAGATCACATTCGGAAACAAATTTATTGAGATAATTTGCAGTTGATAAATCTCACATTATGGCTTCATTTAGTATTTATATACGCAGTAGAGACCGGATTTTATCTCACATCAGAATATATAGCGAGGATGGACTATACAGGAACGTCGGAGGGGTAGTCTTGTGGGTGTCTCTGAATAGTTTCTCTAAGTAATTGCTCTTGCTCACATAGGTTCAATGGCTGATGGTCATAGACATCACCAAATAAGGCTGCAAGTGGAGGCTTCTCTGTTTTCTCTGCCACCTGAATTGCATGCAATAGCTGCAGCAAAGCACTACAAGTCAGAAGAGAATTTCAAATAGCAATTTTGAAAATAGACAACACGAATCATATTTAAACATTTCAAGATTTTCCACCTGCTTTCTGATGTTGCTGCGAAGTTCAGATTCATCATTATCACTCCACCAGCCATTTCTCTCTACCCATTTTCTGAATCTATCCACAGGGTTCCGCTCTGTTTTCCAGTGTTCAATTTCATCTACAGGCCGATACTTGGTGGAATCATCAGATGTGGAGTGGTGTCCAACTCGATACGTAAGGGCCTAAAATTCAAAATCAAGAATGGAAAAAAAAAAAAAAAATTCATGTTTTAGAAGGTCAAGTTCAGGTGCATTGCCTTCGCAGATGCAAATAATAGGAAGGGGACCGGCCAGGATCACTTTTGGTTCCCTTTTTTACAGTTCATATAATTTCAAGAAAAGAGGCACTCAAGCTCAGCTCAAAATAGACATATTTTCGCAATTTAATTGTCGTATTGTTTGGTGGAATTCATTTGTAACAATTGATGGTCTAACATGGTGCTAGGTTCAAGTTTCCCTATATGCATTTGTTCCTCAGTTCGATGTGCAAATTTGCATTTGGTTCGATTTCAGATTGGTCTCTTTATCTCGTCATTTGAAAGGAGGGAGTTGCACGTTAGGGAGGGTGTTGGGGCTTGATATACATCGTTGGATCCATTCTCTAACAGCTTAAGCATTGGGGGTTAGTGGTAAGCTAACATGGTACAAGAGTTCTGGTTCTGGGAGGTCTTTCGTTGAAGTCTCCATCTCTACATGTGTTTCCTGGTCTAGTGTGCAATTTGGACTTTTCATATCTTGATTTGGTTTATTTGCCTAGCCACGTACAAGACAAGGTTGCATGTGAGAGAGCGTATTGGAGCTTGATATACATGGTTGGACTCATTTTCTCTAACAAATTAAGCTTTCGGAGCAGATGGTGATTCTAACAGTTCTAGCAAGCTGTTGTCATTTGTCAGGAACTACATAAACTGTAAAAAAGTGGATATGGGAGGGGATGACAAATTTCCTGGAAAAAAGTACCAAAGTATCACAAGGAAGATGAGTTGCACCTCAACTAATATAGGCCTCTGTTCACTGATGGCCATTGCGCGAGCCGATCGAATTGCGTTGTACATGGCAATAGCATCATTTCCATCGACTCGGATACTTAGGATTCCATAAGCTTGACCTTTAACAACAACACCATCGCCTGACAATAAGGAAAAAAAAATTGTAACCATATATGGATCTCGAATTCTTGATATCGAAACTATTAGGGCTTGGGTTACATTGGTACCCAATTTACAGCTTGTTGAGTTTGAAGACACATTTTGTGCACTGATACGCACACTTACAACGAAAATTTGAGTACTAGAAGCTGCTTATTCTTTTGAATGAATTGGTGTGTCTGCCCCTTTAAGCAAGGGGAACCCCAACAACATTAAGGTATGTGCAGCTCTTAACAGACAATATAAGTTTAAAGGTTAACGGAAAGTACTTCTGAATTGATCTGATATAGGGGTGCTGATGGCCCACCCGTTGTTGCGGCATATAAAAATAACAGGAGCTTCTGTAACTGCTGCAAAATTTAAACCAGCATGGAAATCTCCCTAAAAATGTTGAGATATATCAGAGAATAAACCGCGAAGATCATGGTTTGCTAAGGGAGAAATAAAAGAAAAAGATTTAAAAGCATTATTTTTTTTTAGCATCTTTGAATTATGTTTCTTGTGTTTTTTATCAGTCTAAGATACTTCAGAAATCAAGAGCAGCACAATGGCATTAGCTCCTGAAAGACAAAAGGTACTTTGAAAATTGTAATATACAGTAAAAGTATATGGTTACCTCACTGGTGCCTCCATCGCCAAAGTAAGTAACGGCACATGCATCCCTTTTGTCCATTTTAAGAGAATAGGCAGCACCTACAGCCTGAGGAATCTGCGTACTGATGAGCACAGCACAAATTGCAAATTGTTGATTATCTAATTACTAAAAAAAGCATTTACATAATAAGACTAAAAGGGGCTTAGATCTTACGCAATAGGAGATGACACAGTGAAATAATTGTGCTTATTAGACCCGTAATGAATTGGCATTTGCCTGCCTTTCCCATAATCAGCCTTGTTTCCAAAGCATTGATTAGCAAATTCTTGCAGAGTGAAACCACGCCATAATAGAACTCCAGGTTCGCGGTACTGCATTACATCATATATTTCTGTTCGCATCATTTCCCATTGCATGATCTTAAAGATATCCAGTTTTATACATGCAAAAGATATAAGATAACTAATTTGGGACCCAATGGGAGCTAATAGAATCGGACTCGAAATCAAAACTATCTGAATGGTCTTCAGGACTACTATACTAGGGGGATTTCAACTAAAACTTTTACCATCCAATTGATATAAAACGGACTTCAAATCCCCTACTAGAATTGAATATTTTAAGAGTTGTGACATGATTAGATGATTCATTGAAATTTAAGCTCAACCCCTTCAAAGTTAAAAAAAAAAAAAAAAGGAATATCAACAATAGACAATTTTCAAATTTCTTGCCGGTTAGGAGATGCAACTATTGCAAACTGAAGGTTCTAAAACTGGGAAAGGAAGGTCATAAAAAAAGAACTCCCTGGTCATCATTCATTTAGATTTGGTTTCAGCTAGATTAAAATTGTGAAACGGGAATCATGTTATCATGTTAGTTATTTTAAATAGTATATGTTCCTTCATCAAGTAGAAAGAATATACATTCCATGACTATTTATGCAATCATCAAAGTACTTGCCTGAGGCAATATAACATCATCCGGGGTGAGTGCAGCTGCCGATGCAATGTTGAGAGCCTCTTCTCCGTTTGAGGTGAGATAGAAGGAAATTCTTCCCTGCCTCTGTGCTTCATAGAAGATTGTGTCCATGATTTGAAGGGTAACCATCCCAGTATACATCTTCACTGCAGTCTCCCGGCTCATCTAGCGAATGAAATAGCCAAGAATTTATTAAATTTAATCTTTTATCAGAAGTAAACTTTTAATTTAGATGAAAATCTTGAATGTTGAAATTTTAAAAGTAGTTAATGAAATAGGAAATACCAATGGCCACTAGCCTAGATGGTATAAGCTCTAGATTGTTCAAGCCCCAGTATAGGCAAAATATAGTGCGTGTGTGTGCGTGCACGCGTTTGCTTGAACTTTTGGGGGAAAAAAAGGAAGAATGTTTCAGGTTTCGGTTTGAGCATTGACCAAGTTAGATAGACATGAAAACCTACATTGGGACCATGAGTAACAGGAAAGAAAAAAAAATTAATAATAATAATAAGAGAAAAAGTCAAGAGTAGAATGTATATAGTCCATACTTCCAATATGCAGTTGTCAGATAAGATCCTGAATGGATTAATTGTACTGAATGGATCGATACCTGTTCGACTCTGTTGCGCATAATCGGATAGCCATCGTCATCAAGGACACGATAACAGTGTATTCTTTTATCAGGGTAGTCGGACATGAATCCCATTTCGGAAGTAAATGTAATTCTTCCGCCGGGAAAGTCAAAGGCCTGCCGTGTCAAGAGTAATAAAAAAATGAGTGAAGGTGAAGAAGAGATTATTTATCATATGCTATTGAAACTTAAAGATCACACAGCCATATCAGAAGTCGATCATAGGATAAAATATTTATAACAATAAGGAATTTATAATAAAACAACAGAAGATATGAACCACTATAGAACTTCCAAAAGGGTCCAAATGCAGAATTCAATTGTTATTTTAGGGAAATTGGGCAAGATTGATGTCCTGCCTGATTGAAGCAACACAATTTCAAGTAAAAAATAAAAGTGCTGATACTAAAAATCTTGGAATTTGTCGGTTTTTTTTTACCTTTTGCCATTTTCCCATTAGTTTATGTAGGATACATAGATGCATCTTCTTCTAGCAAAAAATACTTCCATGGAAACATTTTGAGAGTCAATAATAAAATTACAGGAGGAGTAATATATCATATATTCGAATCGGCCCTAGTAATATAATGAATTTGAAGTATACACTATTATTGTGATGTTCCAATATAATATAAACTTTGAAATACATTTTACTTCAATTTATTTATTTAATTTATTATTATTATTATTATTTGGTTTTTCTGATTCCTCTGCACTTTTTTCAGTTGTTATTATCATTTCTTCTTCCTTAAAACTTCTGACTAGTTAATATGTAAAATATTGAAAAGCCTCATGGACTAAACTTGTATCAAGTCAATTTGCCTTGCGCATTTACTACCATTTTAACACAACAACCCAAAAGCTGAAACTCAAAAAAATATTATAACAGAAAATAGACTAGCCTCAACAAATAATTATGCTATTTTACACTCACCATGATTATTATATTATTTTATTTGAAAAGCAGAGTTAAAGATAAACAAAGATATGATAATTTGTAACAAATTCAATCCTTTGATTGGTGATGAGAATCTATTAGAGTACCAACCACAAGGGAGAGCAATATAGTTTTAATTTGAATCAACAAAGCAAGCACGTGATATACGTAATAGGAGGTACTTGGTTTTTTACCCAAAATATTATACAAATACAACACATGAACTAAAGTAAAAAAAAAAAAGAAAAAAAAAAGACACTAATACATGGTACTTTGTTAACATGATTAAAGGGTTTTCTAACCTGAAAATTTTCACTGTCGTCATCATAAACTAAATGAGTTTGTTGTTTCTGAGGTTTGGTTGATCTAAAATGAAGAAAGGAGAAACCCATGTTTCTTCTTAGATGATGGACAAGGTTTCTTGGTCTCGCAAACCACAGAGCCATGAAAGACTAAAGAACTGTCTGTTCTAACCCAAAAAAAAAAAATGGTGGTAAGAAGTAGAAGACAAGAAGTATATGGAGGATGAAGAAAGAAGATGGAAGTATGAGTGGGAACATATAAAATACCCATGTGTCAGCCGCTGGACTCTGGTTTAATCTCCACCTTTTTCTACAAATACACTCTGTCCAATAATTTTGTACCTTTTTTTAATCTTTGACTGTCTTAAAATTAATATTTCATTTTGCAAAGTAACAATGTGCAGTTTTGTAAACTTTCCTAAATTGATAAAAATAAATAAATTAATTAAACTTTAAAAAGTAACTTGAAAATTTTAAAGAGAAGCAATTTACTTATTTCTTAAAAATTGGAATTCCAAACTTGGAAAATTAAAATGGGACTAAGGGAGTATTTCTTTTATCTAAGTTATAATACAAACAAGTATATCTATATCCATTCTACTTGTAAATGTGTATAATTTTATTTATTTATATTTATATTTATATATATATATGTCAGATTTTTTAATCAGGTGTATAGATTTTTTATCTTTTATATACATTTTTTAATCAATTATCTTCTAATTATAATGAAAGAAGTTTGATAGCCAAATTAAACATACCACCACTCTCTAAATTTAATATGTTGGTAACACTGAGTAAGACATGTGGCTTCAACACAGTGTTCATATCATCCACAGAAAATCTAGTTAGTCAAGTCAGTAAAATCTCTTGGTTCTTAAAACAGTGACTTTGGGTCTAATGGGTAAGAAGATCTATATAGATTGAAATTGAGGAGTTTTTGGAATAGGGAATGAAATTGTTTTGAACCCAAAATTACAAAAATAGAAAATAAAGGAAATTTCTCTTCATCTGACATTCTATTACTACTGTTTGTTTAGATAATAGGGTTGAAATTTGTAAATATTTTCTTTCTAGGCAAACATACACCCACCATTTTTTTTTTCCCCCCACCTCTAAATATATATATATATATATATTATATTTGCTCCCATGGGATTCGGATACTTATATTATCTAGGCTAGAGCCCATTGGTCAGTTTGCAAACTCGTAGTCCAAACCTTTGTACATTCCAAACTTCGTTAGGAGGATCCAAGGTTCAGGTTTGCTTGGTGGGTTGTGCTGGGCCCCACAGTTTTGACACGTTTCAATATTCAACGGGGAAGTGCACCTATAATTGGCTCACTTTGAGTGCGTCCTAACTTGATGTTCTAACCACACAATTGGGAATACATCTTATCTTGTAGGTTTGGAAGCATTCTCACAACTTGTCCAAAAGTTCAACATCACAAGAATCAGATGGTTGGAGTGATCATACTCATAGTTTGGCCACAAGTGGACATATAATCTGGTGGTGACCTATAGGTCCTACTCTATCAGGGTGTGACCTATCATTTGGTGGGTCTTAGTCTCTTTCACAATATACTAGGTAATTTCCGGTATTTTTATAGTCAATATTCAACTAGTGTGTGTATGTATGTGTACCTCATCTTCTCCAAAGTAGAGAGTCCTAGTCGAAGGCTCAAGTCCTAAAAGGGCAAAATGGGTGTGCCTGTTTGATTTGTCATTTAAAAAAATAGTTCAAAAAAAAAGAATATTATAAAAGATAATTATCTGAAAATAAATTTTTTTTAAAAATTTCTGAAATTATTAATCAAACAGTGAGGACACCAAAATGACCCGGGCTTGGTATGATCCGTATTGCAAAGGACTGGTCGGGTATGGATAGCCAAGATGGAGCAAGTTCACGCTTGATGGGCCCAGATCCATGAAGTCATTGCAGAAGCCCATATTAAAATGAGAGAAGTTGAGTCCAGGAAAAAGAGAACAAATAAGGCCCAGGCCAGAGGAGGTTGTAACCGTCTATAAATAAGGGAAATTGAGAGGGAAAAGTAGTTCGAAATCATTGGGAGTGTAAAATTTCTCTCTCTGCAATTGGGGGAAATTCTTTGTACTTTCAATTGGTGCCATCTGTGGGAAGAAGAGGAAGGATTGATTGATGTTGTACCAGATCGATTCGATTCAAAGCACTCTGCGAGGTAAACGACTAATCTGCAAAAGCTGAATCAACATTGGCGATAATACGATTTGTCTCAATGAGTCCAGGCTCCGGTTGATTTCAAGAAGTTGGCGTCCGATCCACGCAGATCAAATCTGTGCTTGATCCGGCGAACTGCACAATTGCGATTTGTTGTGATTACTGAATCCGGCCAGTAGCGGACTGAATTCAACAAGTGTGAGTTCAGATCTGGTGTGTGCGCGTAAGCGGAACTCCGATCTGGTCAAGAAATCTGCAGTTGATGACTTTGCTCCGATCTGGAATGATGATCGGAGAGGCGAACTCAAATCCTTTGGAGAACGGCCAGCAGACGAAGCTCGATGAGCTGATGAACATGATCGACGCTTTGAGGAAAGAAAATGCAGAGCTACGAGCTGGAATGGAGCGTCGTGAGGCTCCTGTAATTCCGAGGCCACCTCCTGAAGGAGAGGGAGCCTTACCGTCCCAAGTTGATCGTTAAGGTGATCCAGAAGGTGTCAATCGTGTTGATCCACGTCGTGATGAAGTTATAATCGGCGATCTGCCTCCGAATGTCCGTCGAGTAGAGGATCGAGAAGGATCTATTCATCTGGAACCACATCGCGAACGATAAAGTGTTTGACTGGACCGATAACGACATCAACGTTGTCCAACAAATCAAACGTGATTTAGTTCATATCCCTGAAGTTTATTTTCCTCAAAATGGCGATAAACTTATTCTTGAAACAGATGCCTCTGATTTTTGTTGGGGTTGTGTTTTAAAAGCTATTCCACATGACAAATGGGAAGAAGCCACTTTCACAAATCATCAGATACGAGCAAGAAAAACTCCTATTCCAAAAAAGCTTCAAAAAGAAGAATTGATTTGTGGCTATAATTCTGGAAAATTTAAACCAAATGAACATAATTATATTATTTATGAAAAAGAACTTCTGGCAATTAAATTAGCAATCAAAAGATTTCACATTTATCTCGCTTCAGAAGATTTTATTATTCGAACTGATAATCAAGCAGTTAAAGATTTCCTGATAAATAAAAAGAATTATTTAGATGGACGTCGTTTAAAATGGTATAATGTTATTGCTTAATATTCCTTTTCTATTGAACATATTAAAGGTACTAACAATTTTCTTGCAGATTTTCTGCAATTTCTTTAACTTTAAAAGATAAAACAGTTGTTGAAATCTTGATTCAAGAAAATTTAGCTTCTGTTTGTAATGAAATTTTTTCTCCCCCACAACGGGATTCTAATGAACTTTTTGTCTTAACTGACACTCATTGGTTATATCCTATTTTAAGGCAGAATTTTTTTGATAATCCTTTTAACACTATGGAAACGGAGTGCTCGTTTTTGCACCAGTGAAAGTAACCGAAAGCAGCCGACAAACTATTCATCAACAGTGAAAGTTGCCGACATCCACTTTAAGGAACAGTAAAAAGAAAGATTCCTTCTTATCTTTGCGATTACTGCTTACACAAAAGACTTTTGTCGACAAATAGATCACCTACAAGATACTGCCCGCAGAATCCTAAACGGAACCGATAATAACCCCTAACTGTTTCTTATGGCACAAACTACCTCTGTCAGTTGTATTTGTAATATCGTAGGTCAAGACCCTAATAATTACAATCATACTGCCCACTTCACAACTTCAGATCCCCTCAATTTTAACTAGAATT